TGACACGCCATTCTCTCCAACGACTGTCATGTCACCATCAGGCAAAGCCTTCATGTCCTGTTGGAGACAGCAGCGTGTGAGGACCTCATCATACCACGCGAGATCGAGAGGTCTGCCAAAGACGATGTTCTCTCTCACCGTTTCGCTCAGAAGCCATGCAGTTTGTGGAGCTAGGGCAATCTGAGACGAAGAAGTCGTGAGGCTGAGCTGATAGGAACGCGCTTGGATAATATGCATGTCGCCAAGAAGTGCCTTCAAAACGGAGGTTTTTCCTGATGCAACTGCTCCAACAATGCAGACCAATTGATTGCGCCTCACCAGCAACGAGTCGATCAACAGTCTTTGGCTCTGACTTGGCGCTTTGCTCTCTGGTTGGGTTTGTAAGGCATCCTTCTCCTCCTCCGCTGTCAGGAACTGCGAATCATCGTGATATGCGAAAGCGGCATCCTCGACTTTGATCAGGATATCAGGCGCTTCTTCCTCCTCGCCAGAGTATCCAAAACTGGTTTGCGGTTTGGATGAAGGTGAATCTGGGTCTATATCGGAAGCAAGCATGAACAATGCCAGTCGCTCCAGGGCAGCCCGAGCATCTGCAATAGCCGACAGAGCAGTCGGGAGAGCTTGAAGAGGTGTTCTCAACAACATGAAATATGCAAGGCCAGAAAACACCACGCCTGCGTCCATACCATCCTTGCTGGTCGCTCCATAGCAAACAATGCTGACGACCGAAGCAAGGGTCGGCGCCGTGTAAGAGACGGCAGTGTTAAGAGCTCGGAGAAGCATTCTCTTACGGATATACACTACCTCGTCAGACCTCAGCTTTCCGATCTTGGAGAGCAAACTCTCCTCGTAAGCGTTTGTTTTGACGAGGCGAATAGCAGCAACTGCTTCAACGACAGCCTTGACTCGGGCATCAGTGAACGGCATGCTGCCCCGTCGCAGTCGAAGTAAGCGACCCATCATGAAAGACTGAAGAGGGTACAGTAACGCAAGCAGACCAAATCCCGGCAGAGCGCTGTACCCCATAGTCCAGACGGTCAAAGCAAAACAGAGCAGCATCTGGAAGATGCTTGTCCACGCGACGTGAAAGTAGCCACAGCAAAAGTCGACTCGCGTTACATCAGCGCTGATGAGACTCATGAGCTTTCCAGTGCCGAGACCATGTTTGAGCTTAGCCTTTTCGCTGAGCTGCGTCGTTGCTCTGCGGTAAATGACGTGCATCAATGCACCACGGAGCAAGACGCCAGTCGTGTAAGAGCGATAAAAGCCATGAACGTTTGAGGTAACTGAGAAGACGAGAAGAAGAAAAAGTCCAACGACGTAGCCAAAGCCTGAGCGAAGACCTTGCTGCGATGAGTCGGTTAAAGTAGCGATGAGGAATCTGATGAGAAGAGGCGATAAGATTTGCGATAGGTCTCCAGCCAATTTGAAGAGTCCGCCGAGCCAGAACCATTTGAAGCATACATCGTTGAGGGCCAAGGTCAAGACAGTTGTATCAGTGGTATGCCTTGCCCAGAATGGTCTCCATGAGAACAGACTCGACGAAGTAACAGGCTTGCGTCCGCGATTCGCAGCAAGTCTCGCTGCCCAAGCTTCTTCCAGGCGATTTGCATGATCTTCTGCCAATCTGTGACCTGGCATGTCATACAAATCGTCTGCCTGAAGAGGTCGTGTATAACCCGTTCGCAAGAGACGTCCTAGCCAGTTGAAGGTCAAAATCGACAACCAATTTGCTTCAAGCTCGGGCATAGGAAGCTTGTCTTCATTTTGATGCTCGACATTGTCTGGCGTAGGGGCTTTTGGCGCTGTGAGTCTTTGCTGTATTGGCTTGGCTGACAGGAACGGCACTCTTCTGTACCACTTCCTCGGGGGGAAGCTCTTCCCGTCGTTGTGAGCCATGGTGGCTGAGACCAAACTTGCTTCTCAAACAAGTGTCACTCGGCAAATGGCATGGCACGTCGATGGCTCTATCACTAAGGTCTAGGCTGTTCAAGACCCGACGTGAGCTTCATGCTTGTAGGTCCGTATTCGGAGGGATCTCCCAAAGCAAAGCAGGATCCAAAAAACTGTGTGGATACATACCTGTTCAGGTAGGGTGTGCAGATCAGCAATAATTCCATTCAGGGTTACATCGCAGGCTGCAAGTTATACGCGATGGGGACAGTATAAGTGGATACGAAAACGGACACCTCAAGTGTCTTGGCTTCCATCACCTTCCTCAAACCGTTGATCTAGGGGGATGCCTCCCTCTTCCAGCTTAGGAACCTGTTTAGCCTGTCCTGTTTCTTCTTGTGAAATCCGTAACCGCTTTCCGATTACATAATGTGCCGCGGTGGATACAAAATCAAGGAAATTAAATAAGCTTACAGTCGCTTCCTCATTCGAGTTTAACCCCGGCACTTCATCCCATTTAAAGGGGAAAAGAAATGCCGATCTCCACACAGTATGGGGCGATATATGCGCCATTTGTCAAGGGTTGACCTATCAGAGGAGACATGTGAAAGACGGCTCGGTACGGTGAAACAAGCATAAAAGTTTTGGTGGCATATGACATTGGTGGGTTTTCTGACCTCGTTCAGGACGGTTTCTTTACCGAGGACCTCCGTCGGTTTCCAGTGCACCGGTTGTTCTCAGAATTATCTCTTGTGAAATCAGTGTGAATACTGGAATAAGATTACTTGAAAACGGCACAGGGTAGAAATCCTTCGAGGCCATGTTGGAATGTAAGGATGCATGTGAGACACTCAAGCTTGGCTGAACTACCCTGGATTGAATTGTCTGGGGGCACACATGTCATGTCACATAATTGAACTGCCTCATCGGCCGCAGCTGAATGAGATTGTGAATGAAACGTAGAGAGTAGACTAGTAACTCTTTTGAGCATGATCATCGTATCAAGCTGGCCAAACAGAGAGAAGGTAATCAGTATTAAAACTCCTGGTCTGCTTCCGTATCTTTGTCGATAACGACCTCTAGGCAATCGTAAATCCAGCAATCACTCTTCATATCATTATCGTTATCTTTGTGAGTCCACTTAGTTATCTTGTCCTCGTCTTGGCTTCCCACTAACAAACACTTATAGACGTTGTTGCCCAGCATGACTACTGACCGCACCACTTCCGTCGCTCCCCCACGTAACCCGACGCCACCAACAGAAGCTTGGGACTCTTCTAAAGAGACTTCGTTCAGACTCCCCGACGGCGAAACCAATATCTGGATTGCCAATACTGGTCATGGTGATGGAAATGACTACCTCGTTGGATCTGGCGATACTACATTGGCGCGATGGTCAGTGGACGGGCGAGAGACCAGAATTTCACCAGCCATGGTCAATGACAACAGAGCTCAAATTGGTCCTGTTTTTGAGCTAGAGATCTTGAACTCTGACGTCGCTGATCCTCGTTCGCCTTTTGCATCTCACGGTAGACAGCAAGACCTCGCTATGACCTGGGCGTCTATCTACGCTCTGTGGCTGCACCCAGATCACAGAGACGATGACTTGGTAGCTATCTCTGTTGACAGTCAAAGAATTGGCGAATACATCAAGTGCACTGGCTTGGGTGTGCTATCCCCATTCTCACCTACTACAACTCCCCGAGAGACCATTTACTGGCTCTCTCACGATGCGTTCTGGCAAGGCGCTGGAGCACCAGACTCACAGCACTGGCTTCAATCACGACCCGAAGTGACATCATTCCCTGGCTTCAACGGCACAATGGGCGTCTTCGCAAACCAATTGGGCTTCACGCGCAAGGGCAACGTCTGCACCGTTCATCCCGTTCGACCTCCCAAGCCCAAGCCTGGCACTGTCATCTACTCCCGCTTCATCGTCGAGCTTGGTCAGCAGTTACGAATCCGACACATCGACGCGTCCAATCCCATTCACTTCGAGACATACAAGCGGTGGCAAAACTCCGACCGCGTCAACAAGGCATGGAAAGAGCGTGGGCCAGACGAGCATCATCGAGCATACCTTTCCAAGCAACTGGAAGATCCCCATACCATGTCATGTGTGTTTGAGTGGGACGGAGAACTCGCGGGCTACACCGAGATTGGATGGGTCATGGAGGACAACGCAGCGTGCTTCTTTGGGTCCAATTGCAACATCACAGTGGGCGAGCACGACCAGAACTCGCACATTATAGTGGGAGAAGAGCGTTTCCGCGGCGGCAAACGGTATCAGGCTGTCGCCACGTCGATCAAGCACTGCTGCTTCCTGCGCGATCCTCGCACTAAGCAGGTGATAGCTGAACCTGAATACGATCTAAACCACGTTCAGATCCAGGACAGGTTTTTGCCGCAGGAAAGGAAGAAGCGTTTCCACCTGCCACACAAGACGGCCATGCTGTTCGCCCTGCAGCGTGAGCGATTTTTCCAGGAGGCGCATTTTGTCTAGTTAACATGGGGGAGGAGCTTTAGTTCCATTAGCATGGTAGATCGACAGACCGGACCCTGAAAAATTGAGACATTCTTTTTCGCAATTGTAATTACCATGACGTAACTTCGTATAGACCGCGGTGAGCAAGAATTATCTGATGCAGCTATTGCGTTTGTGGCCAAGATCTTCGGAGACATAACGTAAAACTTGTTAAGGTTGGTGTGGCTGCATTGAGTCACCGGGGCTAACCGAGCTTATTTTGTTTGCACTGTAGGTAACCGTAATCTTATCAGATCGTCAGCCCCCCACTGTGTTACGCTGACCGAGATGAATTATGGGTGTCAGCAGGGATCGGACGTTTCACCGAATATGGACACTGTAACTACCTACCATTCTTGGCTCCATAAGCCACGACACACTGTGCCGAAGGAAAGTTTCTAGCTTCATTGAGGTGAACATCGTCATCAGTGTGGTTGACTGCCGAGCGATAACGGCCGACGTAATTTGGTGGTTTGCGACAGAAACCCTGTGTCTGTTTGATGATCTGGTAAACACCACGGCAGAGCATCACGAACTACTATACAGCTATTACACGGTGTAAGACAAGCATACTATCAACACCATGGATAACGCAATGTCTATGACACGGGCTCCTGTTACGCAGCTTCGGCCACTGCATACTCAACGACAGTCAGCGAAGGAGTCCCGGCCGATCAGCTGGACCAGCTCTGTCGAGCCTAGAGCTGATGAAGAAACCGCGATCAAGGCATTTGTGAAGCTTGTTTCTCATCTTGTCATTCTTGATGAAGGGGAGAATTTTTGTATTCAACATACTAAGCGAGGTGGTTTTTTCCTGGCTCAGTATTCGAGTTCTGAGAGGAATGAGCCTGGTAGCTTCCGTTTTGTTAAAGATGAGAATCATCAAGATATTCCATCTGATTTCTCTATTGGTGAAGGCCAGGTGAGTTTGATGCTAGTTCCTCAAGCCAGGGGCGTTTGTATGCTGATATTTTGGTTAGTCCCTTCAACTTCACTTTGAAGAACACCAAGTGCAACTCAAGACCGATGCGAGTATCATCCCCGAGTCTGCCCTGAGGTCTCTTGGTTGCATGCTAGACGACATTCTTACTGGATCTGAATGGACTCAGCCTTCTGTCCTCAACTTTCCTCCACGATCTGAGCCCATCTCCCTCACTCATGGCGATGGGACTTTGACCAACGATGGTACAATGAGCTCACTCATTTATCACCAATTTGAGAGGCGTGCGTCTGAAACTCCTGATAGGGTTGCTATCGACTACCTGACGGACCTCGAGAGTGAAAGTCGCGTGACCTTTACCTATCGTCAGATTGCAAATGCAGCAACAGCATTGGCGGGCAAGATTGCGAAGGCCTGCGAGGAATCGACACAGTCTCTCAAGACGGTCGCAGTGCTCATTGGGCCATGCCCAGAGCTCTACATTTCCTATTTGGCAGCTCTGAAGGCGGGATTTGCCTTCTGTCCCATCGCCATAGACGCGCCTAGAGAGAGAAAGGAAGCTTTGATGGCGGACTTGAAGCCATCTGCATTACTTACAACAACATTCTTGTTAGAGTCAGCGTCATCCTCCTTTGTGAATTCCTCGTCAGAGACTATCAACGTAACTCCCTTCCTGCAGGCTTGCGATACTGAACCAGAGAAACAACCAACAACAGCACCAAGGAGCGCGAACGACTTGGCCTACATCTTATACACATCAGGAACTACTGGGCTGCCCAAAGGAGTGGCTGTCAGCCATCTCTCGGCCTCATGTACCATCTCTGCCCTCAGTGCCCACTACGGCTTCCCTCTACCATCCGTTACATCCAAGCCTGTCAGGTGGTTTCAAGGCGCTGCACCTACCTTCGACATTTCGCTATTTGAGATCTTTTGGACTCTCAGTACAGGCTCAACGCTTTGTTGTGCGCCTCGAGAATTCACTCTGCAAAACATCGACAAGGTTGTTACTGCCTTGGAGGCCGATATCACTAACATCACGCCTAGCTTCGCCAGCTTGCTCGATCCCTCATCGATCAGTGGACTCATGGTCGGTGGTGAGACCTTGAATGCTCGATTGCTCCAGAAGTTTGCTCCCTACAACCCGACCGCGAAGGAGGAATCTGGCCAAGTACCTCGAGGCATCTATAATGGATACGGACCTACCGAGACGGCCATTTACAGTATTGCACAAGCTCATGTGCCCGAGGGCCAGCGCGGATCCGTCATCGGAACACCCTTAGCAACATGCGGCGTTCTTATTGTTCAGCCCCTGCATGTTCCTCAAGCCGGGGAGAGCCTGAAGCCCCTCCCCATGGGCGCAGTGGGAGAACTCGTCATCACTGGACCCCAAGTTAGCAGAGTGGGCTACCTGAACCGGCTAGACGAAACATCCATGGCATTCCGAGATGATCCACAATGGGGTCGCGTCTACAAGACTGGTGATAGGGCCAGAATTGTCTGGGACAACATGGGCTCCCCCATGGTAGAGTTTCTGGGCAGGCTCTCTGATGATCAAGTCAAGCTCAGTGGGCGACGTGTTGAGTTGGGTGAAATTGAGAGTGTTCTGGCCAGCAAGGTCCCTTCTGTGAAGGAGACTCTATCCTGCGTCTGGAAGCAAGGTACGGAGACAGGTTCGGAGAAGGTCGTGAGTCTGATTGTCGTTGATCCAAGTGCGAACTTCGAGACTGTACACCAGGCGTGTTTGGATGCGTCTCAGCATCATCTCCCTGACTACATGAGACCTTTCAAGATCTTGCAAGTCGATGCGCTTCCGAGATCCGCTTCTGGCAAGGCAGATCGCAAAGCAGCTTTGGCACTTGTCAACAAGATGTTAAAGTCCGAACTCGGCCGCCGCGAATCTACCAGCAGCGGCATGACTGAGAGCATTGAGCTTTTGGAAAACCCTCAGGATGCAGAGCTTGAGCATGAGATCATTTCAATCGTGAGGAATGTTCTTAACGACTCGCCTACTTCAGGTCTATCCTTCACTGCAAATACAGTGCTTGTCGACGCAGGTATCGACAGTCTTCGTGCAATGAGGATCTTGCGAGACATCAGGGACCGTTGGCCAGGGTCTCAGAACCCTCAGCTTGAGCCGTCACTGGCACTTCTTCTCGACAACAGCGCAACCACCCGCTCAGTCTTTTTCCCTACCAGTCAAGACATCGATACTTCAATCACCAAAGCTGGTAGGCAAACCAAAACAAAGGCTCAACTTGAGACATTCTCCGCGAAGCATATGCCAGAGGTATTGGACAAACTCAGCCTCTCTAAGTCCGACATCGAGATGATTCTGCCAGCAACTAGCACACAGAGCCAGTTAGCAGTGAGCTTTGCCATGGACAAGCGTAACTACATCAGCCATACCACGCTTAGACTCAAGCCTGATGTCTCACTACAAACTCTCAAGGACTGCGTTGAGACAACGATGTCGAGACAGCCCATCTATCGAACGGCAATGCTTCCTTGTGATGACGATCTTTCTCCTTTCCTCCAGGTTGTAGTGACACCAGAAGCATGGCAAAGAATGAGCGGTAATTCTGAACGCATTGCTCACAGGAAAACCAGCCCTGGCAGTATCTCTGCTGGCGTGCAAACCTTGCTGGACCTCGCGGAGGAGAATCTCAGCCTTGAGTCGCATAGGCAGTACCAAGTACAGATCATTGATCCCGAAGAGGCTTGCAGTGGTGGTCTTTTGATCATCAGCGCTGCTCACTGCATCTGTGACGGACCTTCACTTGAAGTGCTGATGACAGATATCACTCGTCAATACTCCGGCCTTGAGCCACTTCCACGTCACGGGATCTACGATGCTGTTTTCGAATGGGCATCTAGTCTCAATCTAGAGACAGACCAGCTGTGGCAGAAGGCTCTAGAAGGATGGGAGACCGAGCCGCTTGGAGCCATCAGCGGCAACAACGTCAAGCCGACTTCAGCCAAGACTCGTCAACATGCAATGGTACAACATACTAGTCCGATTCTGTGGGAACTTCTCGAGAGTAAGAGTAGGGCATTGGGAGGCTCTCCGCTCACGATTCTCCAAGCATCTTGGGCCATGCTTCTACACATCCTCTCCGAGGCAGATACCGACGACGTGACCTTTGGCAGTGTTCTTTCAGGTCACCATCAATTTGTCCACGGCCCAACATTCTCTGTCGTGCCTTGTCGAGTTGCCTTACCTGAAGCACAGACTCTCAGACAGCTCGTCGGCAGCTTGATGGACAATTCCAGATTCGCTCAAAGTCACAGACATACATCCTTCGGCATCTTCAAGACACTTCCCTACAACACTGCACTAGCCTTGCAAGCTTACCCCCAGCCTGAAGAAGACGGAGCAGACAAGACAACTTTGCTCTGGACTGAGGTCTCGAATCCTGCTATACGTTACGACTTTGCCATGTTTGCAGAGGTGTTCCCTACAAACCCAAACTTGCCTGATAGGAATGGAAGATTCGATGATGTCGTCTTCAAATTGACGTATCGTGACGAGACATTCTCAGATACTTCTGCATCATGCGTCGTTAAGCAGTTTGCTGCACTCACTGAGATTATTCTGAAGTCACTGCCTGATGATCTGGTACAGAGTCTGCCTGCGCGCATTGACAGGAGCCTACTGTCTGCTGAGGGAACGATCCCAGTCGTAGAAGAAGAAGGCTTGGACGACGCAGCTAGAGAAATTCGCGATAGAGCTCAACTTCTGCATGCTCAGTTCGAAGATCAAGCTGCGAAGACTCCCGATCTCTTGGCACTGAGCTTCTACTCTTCACTGGACTCCGCTCCCGTTGAGATGAGCTACGCAGAGCTTGATGCCAGGGCCAACGGTCTAGCGAACATCTTGCGCGAGCAAGACATTGACATCATTCCAATTTGCATGGAACGCAGCATCGAGCTTTATGTATCTGTCTTGGCCATTCTCAAGGCTGGATCTGCATGGTGTCCCATCGACACAACGTCTCCAGTGCAACGTCGAACGTCTCTCATCGCTCGAGCGCAGAGCAAGGTGCTTCTCACAACCACTGAGTCTTTGCCTCTCGTGAAGCCTTGCCTCGCTCAAGATGCCCTCAAGGATGTGCAAGTCATTCTGGTTGACAGGTACAATGACCACAGTACATCGGTTCGAGCGAAACCACGCAACAGCATCTCCGATATCACAGGACAGGACTTGGCATATCTTCTGTGGACCTCTGGAACTACAGGTGAGCCAAAGGGTGTCATGATTCAGCACAGCGCTGCGGCTCAAGCGATGCGAGACCTACAAGTCCTCGTCGAGCACGATGATCGTGAGCAGGTTCGCACCCTGCAACTCTCCGCTTACAGCTTCGATGTCTTCGTGCAAGACCTGTTTTACACCTGGGGTCTGGCAGGAAGTGTCATCAGCGGTACACGAGAATTAGTCTTAGGCACATTCACCGAGTTCATCTGGAAGTCTCGTCCAACCCACGCACATCTGACACCTTCATTCGGAGCCAGTATTGCTGTTCAGGAACTCAAGGGCTCAACCCTTCAGTACGTCACGTTTATCGGCGAGAAATTGACGGAAGACGTCGCTGAAGCTTGGGCGCATCCCGATATTACGACTCGTGCATACAACACGTATGGCCCAGCTGAGAACGCCGTCGTCTCTACGATGCGACAGTTTTTTGGTAAGAGTCGAGACACAGCCAAAGCTGCCAATGTCGGCTTTCCTCTAGATCACTGCACGGCCTATGCTGTTCGCGAGGTTGAGATCTCACAAGGCACCAAGCGATGGGAGCTTGTTCCTCGGTATGGAGTCGGTGAGCTTGCCTTGGGTGGTGCACAAGTGGGCAAAGGATATCTTGCAAACGAGGCCAAGACTACCAAGGCATTCATCCAGGGTGGTCCAGGCATTGATGAGCGTATCTATCTCACTGGAGATCTCGTGCGATTGAATGACCATGGCTTTGAGTTTCTCGGCCGTAACGATGACCTTGTCAAGATTACTGGCATTCGCATCGAACTCAGCGAGATCAGCGCAGCGTGTGCGAGTCTGAAGGATGATGACGCTGCTGTTGAACATGTCGAGACATTGTACCTCCAACGTCCAGGTGCACCCGCTGGCAATAGCAACAAAGTCGTTGTCACGTTCGTCTCTGTCAAGACTGGTAACGTCGACACTTCCGAGATCAGATCTCAGGTGTTCAAGCGGGCCAAGGATCTCTTGCCTGCTTACATGGTGCCTGGACACGTTGTTGTTCTGGATACAACGATGCCCCGAACTGCTTCTAACAAGGTTGATCGCAAGGCGCTGCAGGCTATTTACGCGGAGTCAGATCTCAACGTGTTAGCTGGCAGAGATGATTCGGCGCAAGTCCAAGGGCAGGGCCATCAGACCAAGCAGCAGTGGGCGACGGATCAGCTTCCTATTCTTGAGACAATCACCGGACACTTCAATCTCCCAACAGAGAACCTTTCTCCGGATGACAGTCTAGCAGGTCTCGGTCTCAGCTCGCTACAAGTCACGAAGCTTGCTTGGTTGCTAAGGCGAGAGCTCAAGTGTCAAGTTGGGGTTCTAGATCTCATGAGGTGTGAGTCTCTGGGAGAACTGGTCGATGTCACACTCAGCCGCATGCCAAAGGAGGCTGAGGTAGACCAGTCTGCACCAACAGGAGAGACAGAAACATCCTGGCTTGCGTCTATCAAGAAGGCGCTAACCGACAACATCAAGGGCGACATGCGACCCTCTGATACGCAGTATATCCTCCCCGCAACGCCAATGCAAGAGTCCCTCATCGTCGAGACTATGCTTGAGCCACAAGCCTACTGGGCGCATCGCGTGTTTGATCTCAGCCATTTGGACGACGTCGACGATCGCCAGTTGAAGAGAGCTTGGACTGTGGCAGCCAAGCGCTTCGATATCCTCCGAACTGTCTTTGTCCCCTTAACACAGCTAGACGTAGATGGCAGCGACAACACAGTTTCTTGGGCTCGCGAGAAGGGTGTTCACTCTACGATCCTCCAGTTGGTTCGAGAAAACCCAACTTTGCACTGGTCTCAGATTGGCTCTGAGGATGATCAGAGTCTCGGTGAGCTGGCCAAGAAGTTGCAGTTGGAGCTGTCCCCAACGACCACCATAGAGACACCGTGGGCTGTCACCTTCGTCGAAAGCACCAAGAAAATGATGCTCAGTATGCATCATGCCCTCTACGACGCCGTAGCCTCTGACGTCTTCCTAGAGACCGTCACGAGCTTGTATCACATGGAGTCTGTCGGAGATGTCGGCGGGATTGTGCAGTTTGAGACTGGTCTCGGTCTCGGGCTGTTGCCAACTCCATCCAAGAGAGACGAAGCAGCTGCACTATGGAGTCGCCGGCTGGATGAGGTCAGCAAGACGGCCAGTGGAGGCACGTTGAGCGCACCTTTCCCTGACCTCACACAATCTCGACAGAAACAGGCTCAGAAGATTCTCATGTCCAGGAAAGACATTCCTGCTCCATTTCTCCAATCTACTTCGGCAGTTGCACTTCCAACACTGCTCCAATCCGCTTTCGGCTGCGTTCTCGCCTCATATCTCGAACTTGATGCCGTCGCGCTCGGTCACACTATCTCTCAGAGAGTCCTTCACCCAGATCTCGCACGAGTTGTTGGTCCCGCTATCGCCACGTTGCCTCTCATCATTCGCTCCAACGCTGCTTCATCCGAGGAACTCTGGAAGGAGATGGCTACCGAGTCAGCACAGATGTTCCAGAGCACACACAATCTTCACCCCGTAGATGTCAAGAAAATGCTCAACCGAGGTAGTGGGAGTAGCAATGCTCCATTCCCGGGCCTTTTCGTATACCATCCTGCGTCAGATGATAACCAAGCTGAAGCTATTCAGTCTATGTTCAAGGAAGTCGGGCAGGCATTGTCGCTCAACGTTGAGCATCCCCTTGCTTTGAACATCTTTGAGGCGAATGGAACAATCGAGCTAACTGGAGATGGACGTCGCATTTCTCAGGCTCAGTTGGACCTTTTGTTGGATCAGATCCTTGCCCAGGCGCGGGTTATGACCGAAGCCCCCGGAGCACCTTTGACTCTGCTCCAGAACAGAATGAGTAAGAGTCTTTTGTCTATCAGTGGTGGAACTTGCAACGAAGAGACCGAAGCTGTCAATCCGACTAGACACGTTTCTTTCCACGCATCAGAGCATCCGGATTGGATCGCCGTTGAGGAAGTCATGTTCCAATCCTCAGATGACGATGAGGGGATTGCTTCAAAGACCCTCACGTATGCCCAGCTAGACAAGCTCGCCAACGCCATCTCTACGAGACTGACCCAGCATGAGGCCCGTCTACAGCCTGATGACCCTGTAGCTATGTGCCTCGGTAGAGATATCAAGTCCTTGGCAGTCACTCTAGCCATTTTCCGTGCTGGATTCGTGTATCTCCCTGTCGATGAGGATCTCCCGCCAGCTCGCAAACAGCTTCTCATTCGAGATGCGGGAGCTAAGCTTGTGATCACAACCGAAGAGCTTATCGGTGACTTGGGACTAGACGATACCAATGACCCCCCGCTGTTGCTGCTCCCAGATACGAATGATGACATCGACACCATCATGTCCTGGCCTGTATCTGAAATCCCATCAACGACCGGCACTGGAGGTTATCTCCTCTACACCTCTGGCTCTACTGGTCGTCCCAAGGGTGTGCGAGTTTCTAACGCCAACCTCTGCCACTTCATTTCTGCCTTCAGTACTCGATTGATTGAACACTCGCCCGCCACTTCAAGACTTGATGGTGTGGGGAAGTACCTCAACCTGACTTCGCGTGCCTTCGATCCTCACCTGACGCAGCTTTTCGTGCCGTGGCATCTTGGGCATCGTGTCGTCATTGGAAGGGACCGCACAGCTATGATGATGAACCTCAAGGAGCTTATCAATGAGTTGAAAGTCACGCATTTCGGGTCTGTCCCATCGGTGCTGAGTCAATTGAGGCTGAGACCTGAAGATGTGCCCTCCGTGAGAGTGGTCACTACTGGTGGCGAGAAGGCCTCGAATGAGCTTTTGAACACGTGGGCACAGACGCAAAACTCAGGCGCGGCAGACGATGGAGCTGTTCTCTTTAACTTCTACGGTCCTACAGAAGTCACCATTGGATGTTTGGGCCATGCTGTGCATCAAGACTCCAACGCTCGCAATCTTGGCCTTCCATTACAAGGTCTTGAAGCTCTACTTCTATGTCCCAACAGCGGTGGCGATAGTCTTGTCATTGCGAGAAGAGGTCAGCCAGGCGAACTTTGCATCGCCGGTCCCCAGGTAGCGATAGGCTATCACAATTGTCCTGTCGAACAAGCCAAGAGCTTCCAAACCATTACTCTTCCTGACGGCATTAACAAGAGAGTCTATCGAACAGGCGACATGATGAGGATGATGAATGACGGCTCACTCGAGTTCCTTGGCAGAGCTGATCAGCAAACCAAGATTCGCGGACAGCGACTTGAGCTGGATGAGGTCGTTGGCTTCCTGAAACAAGTTGCAGGTGACAAGGGCGACTTTGACTTTGCAGCGACGGTTGCTTCCACGGTAGATGATAGCTCGAATCAACAACAACAGCTGCTTGGCTTCATGGCCAAGAATCCCAGTGGTCCCAAAGGTCAGGCTGAACAGGAGGTTGAGATGCTTGAAGTCCGAGATGAAGAGTCAACTTCACTACTCGAGTTGATCGAAAACGAGTGTCAGGACAAACTTCCTGCTTTCATGGTACCAACACTAGTTTGGGTTACTAAGATTCCATACCTCGCTGCCTCTGGCAAGGTCGATACCAAGATCTTGGCGCGTTTGGCTAAAGACTTCCTAGCCAGTCAGCAAGACCGTGACGGAGACGACATCAACTCGGGAGATCTGCTTGGATCTGGAGGCAGCCTGAGTGCGAAGGAGTCGGTTGTGGTCACGGCTATTGAAGAGGCCGTCAGTGGCAATGTCAAGGCATCGAGTACTAGCAGCATCCAACGTCTTGGTATCGATAGTCTTTCGGCAGTGAACTTGGTCTCTCTTCTGAGGAAACGTGGCTTTTCTCAGTTGAAGATGACGCATCTCCTCTCTTCATCTTGCACAGTTTCAGATATTGCAAGACTTGCCGATGAACAAGAGAGCCGTAGCCCGACGAACAGCACGCCTCTGTCAGCGCCTCCTTCCACAGATAATCTACACTCCCCGACCTTCAGCGTGTCAGTTCTAGGCCCCCTTCCAGAAGGTCTTGATGGATCCAACATCGAAGCCGTCCTTCATTGTCTGCCACTACAGTCCGCTCTCATCGCGCGGTCTCTTGTCTGGCTCAGTGCCTTCAATGAAAGAGAGAACACTCAAGGGCACGATGTTCCATATGTCGCACAGTTCAGTTACCGTCTCAGTCGCGGCACAGACATTAACAGATGGAAGAAGACAGCCGAACAGGTCATCGCTTCGGAGGCAATGCTTCGAACTTGCTTCCTTCAACGTGATGATGATGGCCAGATCTTTCAAGTCGTTCTTCGTTCCTTGCCATCTTCTCCTCTTGGTGGCCATGGGCATCCAGCGGATATTGTGTCACAGATGAATGCACGACCTCCAATTCGACTGCAGTTTTCAAACGTTGGCGGAGACGAGACCATCGTGTCACTCAACATTCACCACGCACTATTCGACGGCGTTGCTATCAACTCCCTCAAGAATAAGCTTGAAGCGGCATATAACAGCCGAACGTCTTCAATTAGTGCAGCCAGCAGTTTAGCAACGCTGTCCACCATCTCGAGTCACTGCAACCTACCAAATGAGCAACTTGACGCTACAAGACGGTCGTGGCAACAACAATTACAGGGCGTTCAACCATGTCGCGTTGGAGCCATTGATGATAACAACACTAGTGACAACATGGCTCGTCAGACTCTATGTCTTGGATACACTACTTCTGAGCTCAACGCCAGACTCAAAGCTCACTCCCTGGGACCTGAAGGGACGGTATCGGCGTCGTCCGCATTCCAGCTGGCTGTCACCTTGTGCCTCGCTCAACTCACTAAACAGTCTTCCGTTGTTTATGGCTTCATCATGTCACTTCGACCACTACTAGATAACGTTGCCAATGATGTTGACAGCTTTGTTGGTCCATGCCTCAACACTCTCATTCGAGTCGCTACAATAAACAGCCTCGATGAGACTCTGCCTCAGCTGGCTCAGTGTGTTCATAGGTCTCATCTTGATGTCTCCCAGGGTGCTATGCCACTCGTTAGCGTCGACAAGGTCCAGCGCTGGTCAGGATCGGAGGACAAGCTCTTCGATAGTCTTCTAAGTATCAATGTCGTGCCTGCCAACGAACCCAGTGACGCCAAACCAGGACAGATGACTGCTTTACCTACTCGTAGCAGTAGCGACATGGCTTTAGCGTTTGACGTAGATCTTCATGCTGATGGAAAGATCATGTTGACACTTTCTTCTGCTGGAGCATTGAATGTGGAGCAGCTCAAGAACGTTGGCCGACTGTTTGAGAAGGTTGTGTACAGCTGCGCTGACAAGACCGTTAAAGCGTCAGATGTTGTTACTTTCCCTCTCGCTGCAATGACCGTACCGACCAAGGTTCTCGATGGCCCTCAAAGCAATGGCACATCGACAGGGACACCAAGTTACAATCAGGCACTCTCTGACGTACAAGCTATCCTCACTCGCTTCGTCCATCTCAGTCTATCTGAGCTGTCATCCAAGCCTGATTCAACGACCCTATATCAACTTGGTCTTGACTCCATCACCGTTCTTCCATTTGTCAAGTCGATCAACAAGTCGCACAAGACCAAGTTGTCTTCGCACGCCGTGATCAAGGCACGAACAGTCAAGGGCGTTGCACAGCTTCTGCATGATGCGAAGGTCAACTCTACTTCAGTCGACGGTGCCGTGTCCCACTCTAGCACCGAGCGTACCAATGGTTCGTTGAGTGACACTGAGCTCTATGACAGAAGCCTTGAGCGTCTAGCCAAGAGTCTCATGTTCATAGCAACGCCGCTTCAAGAAGGCATGCTCAGCGCATCTCTCGCCACTGATAGCGATGCATACACATATGTTCATGCCATCCAACTTTCTAACTATGCTCTTGCACATGACACACCGAGTCTTGACAAGTTTTTCGCTGCTGTGAAAGACACGGTTCAAGCGTGTGAGATTCTCAGAACGCGATTCATTTTCACTGATAATGATGAGTCGCCGTGGGTTGGTATCGTATCCCCTACTGAGCAAAGCGATCGCGTCAGCTGGGAGGTTCAGCCAACAGTCCCTGGTCGAGTACATTTGCGAATCCACCATTCCCTCTATGATGCAACATCAATCCAGTCTATTTGGAGTATTCTCCAAGACTACTACAGCCGACGCCTCAACAATGACCTGTCAGACGGCGTCGACGCGGCGAAGCATATGTACAAACCGTTTGCAAGGACTGTTGCCTCTTCACAGAGGGCATCAATTGCCTATTGGATGGATTCCGTTCGTGAATACACGTATACGCCTCTCGACTTCCCTGGTGATCATCTCAAGGCATCATCTGCTGTCCATATCAGCTTTGACACGAGCCAACTATCGCTTCTCCAGTCAAAATGTCGGGATCTTGGCGTGACCATCAAAGCAGCACTACAGTTGTCCTGGATCAAGGTCTTGTGCGAATCCCTTTACAGACAATCTGACGTCGTGTATGGAGAAGTCGTTTCGACCGATGCCGATGATGATGTTGCCATCGTTGGCCCGACTATCAACACGTTGCCATTGAGAGTGAAACTCGGTGACTCCGACGGCTGCATCAATGTATCACAGGCCTTAGCACTTGTTCAGAAGCAGATCGATAGTGCAAGAGGCATCAATTCCATGGCCTCACTGAGAAAGATCCAGTCAATCTGGAGATCAGGGCAGATAAGGTCAGATGCACCAGCAACCCTTTTCCAGAGTCTCTTCGTATTTGACGGGGTTCTCGGTACTTCAAATACCAGCGATGACTCAGAGAAGCTATTCAAGTCTGTGCAGGCTGGAGCTGCTGGCACGACTGGACCAGCCTATGATGATTACCCTCTCATCGTGAGCTTCCATGTTAAGGACAATATCCTCAATGGGAAGCTGAGGGCCAAGCTACCCCAAGAGCAGGTCGATGTACTGGGCAAGAGCCTGCATGCAGCCTTGGACCACGTTCTTCATAGACTTGACGTGCCTGTCGTTGACACCAAGTACCTTGACCCAGTCAACAATACGGCGTCTCCAGAGACTAAGAGTGATCCGGCGGAGTCTAGTATGAACGGCTTGACTCCAGCAGCCGACGCAGCGTTGAAGCTTGCGGAGACAGTTGTAGGAACCAGACGAGGTGGAAAGAAGATCGGCTACGACACGAGACTTATCACCGTTGGCCTGGACTCTATATTAGCCATTCGACTATCGAAGCTTCTGAGACAGCAACTTGGACTCAGTGTCAGTGTTTTCGAGATCATGAAGGGCGCTAGTGTTCGCGACATCATCGCACGCCCAACGTCTTGGTCCAAGCCAACAACAAATGGCGTCCGGCATCAACCGGAGCCTCTTCAAGAGGGTTTGAAGTCGACGATAGCGAAGACCCTTGGACAGCCAGAACATCTCATCAAGTCTATCATCCCTGCCTTGCCTGGTCAGCGTTCTCACCTCGAACTTTGGTTGCACAACGGGAAGAGATTCTTTGAGGCACCATGGGTTTACAGGCTGCCCATGACTTTCGAACAGGAACATCTCGCAGCCTGTTGGTCTGAGCTTGTCAAAGTTCACGATGTCCTCCGAACTACCTTTGCAACTGGAACGACGCCGGCGGAGCTGTACCAAGTCCTTCTGTCAGAGGAGTGGTCAGCCCGATCGCGCTTCATAGCCCTTCGAGACGCATCAAAGACGGTTGAGGAGTTGATCGCAGAGCATGTGAGTGAGGAGAATTCCAAGGCATCAGACTTGAAGGAGCCTCCAGTCCGTCTCTCTCTCTTAGAAGCTGTAGACGGCAAAGCGGTTGTCTTGAGACTCCATCATGCACTTTATGACGCATGGAGTATTAAGATGATTGAGCAGGACCTCGACAATATCCTCAGCGGGGGTGGTATCCGAGACACTCGTCAGTCACTGGAGCAAGTCGTCCAGAGTATCAGAGCAATCAGACAACCAGAAGCCGAAGACGCATACTGGAGGCGTCATCTTTCCGGTGCTGAAGAAACCATTTTGGGTCACAATGCTGAACATACTGTTCTATCAGCGCATGGCCCGCAGTTCAAGACGAGCTCTAACATCGTACCTCAGAATAGCATCAGGTCGCTGTTGCAGAAGAGTAGCTCAGAGGTCTCTGCAGCTATCATCCTGTCCTATGCAAGGACACTGCAGCACTTCACCCAACGAACCAAGCCTACCTTTGGTCTCAACCATGCTTCTCGATCGCTTTCATCACCTGACGGGACTCAAACCCTCGATCTGACTGCTGCGAGTATCCCAACTCTTTCTGTGACGCCATTCTCTATTGACTTGGAGTCGTCGACTGAAGGGCTACTAGGCTTCATCCAGGACCATCAGGCACAGCTCAATTGCTTCAGCCAGGCAGATGGTGTTCGGAAGCTGAGCCCCATGTTCAATTCGCATTTGAACATCATATACCGCCGCGATCATGCATCGTCTCAGATCGAGAACTCTGCAGACGGGCCGCAGGCTTTGGAGAGGTATAGGCTCCCGGAGCCACTCGCGTCCAACTACTTCACCACTACGAAGCCGTCATCTACGGTTTCTACCATTGAGGGGCTTGACGTTGCTCATTTGCCTGATCATCATTTCTTCTTCAATGTTATCGTTGGCGAAAGTGGTCATGTCACTTTGTCTGCAAGTGGCAATAAGGCATTGTTTAATGGTGACTGCACTAAGGTTACAGATTTGGTGGACTGTTTTCTTGCTGAGCTTTCCAAAGTTTCAGCACGCGAAGGTTGATTCATGACTCAGTTTTCATGTTAATGTTTTTCAATGTTTTTCCTTTTCCTTTTGCCTGTCAATATCTTGATTAGTTGTTTATTCACATAAGAGCATAACTCTTTTTAACATAATTATTATCGCCATACCCTGTACCTGACGCGTGCTTCAACGCGTCGACGCGCTCACCACTCACCGCTCACCGAAAGAAGCTAACATAATACCAGTCGACAGCCTAATTGGCCATGCTGCCAACGCTAACCGCTCAGCCGGTTATTCACGGTACATTTCCCCACACTCACCAAACACGAATTCGGTAGTCGGAGGCTCACGCTCCGCGTCGATCATCGTATTCATCCCCAGGCGCGATCCGAATACCGCATCAATTACATTTAAGCTTCAAAGTCTCATGATCATACCCCAGACATGATCTGGTCCATTGTGGAGAGTCAAGGATGTTTGTTATTAGCCTGTAATTGAAGGGTCACTTGGCATCTAGAATTCATGGCTCTCACTTCAGCTAGCCTCGGCTCTCATGGCGATGAGTCAAGGCCATTATCCGGGGACTTACCATTTGATAGTAGATGATAATGAGACTGTAGTTTTGAAAGTAGCAAAATGAGTCTATTATCTGTGATATAGTAAAAAAAAATTGATGAATAACAGGCTCCTTGTTTTGCACCAATTTGTCCTGCGTCTGAGCATATATCCAAGTCTTGCCCTCCGTTGTCAGGTCTTGGCTGACATCAAACATACTCTATTTCTTTAATCTGCCGCATTCATGCAAGGAACAAGCAAATAGCTTATGTTTGCACAGAAACACGTTCTCTGTCTGCTGGGCTATGCCGAGCCGGCTAATGACCCCGGACCTGGTTTTAGCCATCTGGAATTAGAGAAAGTGCCGCCAGAAGTGAAACGACCAAGACATTTATTTAGCCGGGAAACATTAGGTAATTGACATCATGAACACTTCCGATATATAATACAAGATGGATCGCTGTATTAAGGGATTTGTTCTACTCCATCGCAGACAAGTCTAAGTCTCGTTCTTGAGTAATTATCACCAGCAAAGATGCGTTTCAGTCTCATCCCCACAGTCGCTTTGGCAGCTTTCAACGGGTTCGCCGTTGCCAATCCCGTTCCGTAAGTCATATTCTATGAGAATGGCAATAGCATCACTCACATGTAGCCAGTGATGTTGAGGCACGACAGGCCACTGGCCTCCAGGCTGCCATGAAGGCTGCTGGCAAGCAGTACTTCGGCACCGCTCTCACCGTGCGCAATGACCAGGGAGAGATCAACATCATCAACAATAAGAATGAGATTGGCTCCATCACCCCCGAGAACGCCATGAAGTGGGAGGCAATCCAGCCCAACCGCGGCCAGTTCAACTGGGGTCCCGCTGACCAGCACGCTGCCGCTGCCACCTCACGAGGCTACGAGCTGCGTTGCCATACTCTTGTTTGGCACAGCCAGCTCCCCTCGTGGGTTGCGAACGGCAACTGGAACAACCAGACTCTTCAGGCTGTGATGAGAGATCACATCAACGCTGTCATGGGACGTTACCGTGGGAAGTGCACTCACTGGGATGTTGTCAACGAGGGTGAGTTTGACTTTCATGATGAGGCTCCTGAGAGACTTCGGGATTACTAACCAATCTTCTAGCGCTCAATGAGGATGGAACTTACCGTGACAGCGTCTTCCTCCGCGTTATCGGCGAGGCCTACATCCCCATCGCCTTCCGCATGGCCCTGGCAGCAGACCCCACCACCAAGCTCTACTACAACGACTACAACCTTGAGTACGGCAACGCCAAGACCGAGGGTGCCAAGCGCATCGCCAGACTCGTCAAGTCCTACGGCCTCCGCATCGACGGTATCGGTCTGCAGGCTCACATGACCAGCGAGAGCACTCCTACTCAAAACACCCCTACACCCTCGCGAGCCAAGCTTGCTTCTGTCCTCCAGGGTCTCGCTGATCTGGGCGTCGATGTCGCCTACACCGAGCTGGACATTCGCATGAACACTCCTGCTACCCAGCAGAAGCTCCAGACCAACGCTGATGCCTATGCCAGAATCGTTGGCTCTTGCATGGATGTTAAGCGATGCGTTGGTATCACCGTCTGGGTAGGTTTTTCGCTTCACATGCTTGATTTACTTCGTACTAATCGCTCGCAGGGTATCTCTGATAAGTATTCCTGGGTCCCCGGAACTTTCCCCGGCGAGGGATCTGCTCTCCTTTGGGACGACAACTTCCAGAAGAAGCCTTCTTATACTTCTACCTTGAACACTATCAACCGCCGCTAAGGTTCAGTGGAAATACAGCAGCTAGATACCGTACATAGGCCCTTTATATCAGTCTGCTATTCCTCCAATATCCGTGGTCAATTTAACTTAGCTACAGTCTTGTCCCAAAAGAGAACTTATTTCCGATTCTTCTAACCCTTGCTGGTTCATTGGGTTCTTACAGGAAGTGGAGACCAGTCGAAGTTTTGGTTCGAAGCTTTTCCATATCCTGTTTATCATGCATGTTGGTCCTCCCTTGCATACCCACTCACACCAAAATCGCCCCCAGCCTCTAATAGCGAGCCACGTATTTGTAAATGCACACATCGGCTGTTGAGTTCGTAAGACCAGTCTCTGGAGAGGCGACCCTTGTCTAGTCATAAATGATAAGAGAATCCCAGAATATGATGTTGACAACGTTAAAACGCGCTAGACATGCAATGGGGGAGCGGGGATTGCATTGCTTTCCATGAGTTCCGATTGCAGTTCAATAAAACCTCACCCAGATCGGTTAGGTAGATGATCTACTGTTCTCATTCTCATGCTATCGCCAGTAAAAGCATTGCTTCATTGTAGCCACCATGCTTAGTGTCTCGATTCTAGCTGGAGGTGTCGCTGCTGTATGTCTCAGACACTACGGCTTTTCCTCTACGTTCTAAGCTAATTATCGCCTAGGCGACAGTGCTCTGTATTGGTTACGTGGTGTATAACATCTTCCTGCACCCGCTGCGTAACTTTCCTGGTCCGCTTCTCTGTCGGGCTTCCCCATTGTATCGTCACTACAAGTTCTTGCGTGGAGATCTTTTGTTTAAGACTGAACGTCTGCATAAGCAGTATGGCCCTGTTGTGCGCATCCGGCCCAACGAGCTGTCTTTCATTGATCCGGAAGCATGGAGAGACATATATGTCGCTCATGGAGGCTCAGCTCGGCTTGGAGATTTCGCCAGATATGACAGATTCTATCAATGGGCTGGTCCCAGCGCTCCAGAGACCTTTGTCTCGTTAGATAGGCCGTATCACGATTCTATGAAGCGGCAGCTCCTACCGGCCTTCTCAGACCGTTCGTTGCAGTTCCAGGAGCCCATTATCCAAGGATATACGGATACACTGATCCGCAAATTGACAGAGGCTTCAAAGGATGGAAACCCTGTTAACCTGCGCGAGTGGTTTAACCACTACACTTTCGATATCATCGGAAATCTCGGATTTGGATCTGACTTTGGGGGCCTTGAATCTGAGCAATATCATCCTTGGGTCAAAGCTGTGAGTCAGAATGTTAGAGAGTTTGCCATCATGCAGGTATTGATGTACCTGGGTCTTCAACGGATTGTTCATGTTTTGTCAGGCAGTTCACTTCTGAGGGGCAAGATACTGCATGAACACCTGACGAGGGAAAAGGTCGAGGCTCGCATCAAAGTGGAAAAGCCGAGACTGGATATATTCCAACCCCTCCTTGACCGAAAGCCACCTTTGGTATGTCCATTACCCTTTCTTATCATTTTATCATTGATGCACTAACGCGAATATTTAAAGACATTTGCTCAGCTTATGGAGAATGCTACCATATTGATCACAGCAGGCTCCGAGAGCTCTGTCACCCTGTTGGTAGCTGCAGTCTCTCTGCTGACTGACAATCCGGCCAAGCTGCAGAAACTGGCTAAAGAAGTCCGATCAACCTTCAAGAATGAGGATGAAATCACAATAGTATCTGTCAACCAATTGCCCTACCTCGCTGCCTGCTTGAACGAGGCTCTGCGATGTTTTCCCGCAGTCCCTCCCGCATTACCAAGAGTCGTCCCCCATGGCGGTGCAGTTATTGCTGGCCATGCTGTACCAGAAAATGTGAGTCAAGAATGTTTTGCCTCTTATCGATAAAAGCTGACCGAGTTAGACGGTTGTTGCTGTTGCTTCGTGGGCCACGAACCGTTCTGAGCAACACTTCCAAAAGGCCCTTGAATATCATCCTGAGCGCTTTCTTAAGGACCCAGAATTCTCCCAAGACCGCCTTGATGCGTTCCAACCATTTGGTTTGGGCCATGGAAATTGCCCCGGACGCAAGTAAGTGTCCCTATCTTATCTGATCATCCGATCGTTGAGCTGATTATTTTATAGCCTCGCCTGGGCAGAAACACGCCTGGCATTGGCGCGCCTCGTGTACAATTTTGACCTTGAGTCAGTGCCGGAAAGCAGAGACTGGACCACCAAACAGAAGGCGTACATGTTGTGGGATAAGCAGCCGTTTTGGGCGGTACTCAAAGCTATTCGGTAAGCCAATTTGTCCATAGAGATCTAGTATCGCATAAATTTCAAGTAAAGAAACATTTAATTAATTTATGTGATTATTTCCATATCTTCAAGATTTTCGTTTTTATATGTTACCTGAGGAATTGATGATAATCGACAATGACTTCTGTAATCATTTTATTTGGGTCTCAGAAGAGAGCACTTGACATGTCACGTTTTCACCCCTGCAGATCTGATCGGCCTCGGTATGAACATGTGATATTTAATGCAAACTTCAATAAACTAATTCAGTCACGCTAACAGCCCATTGTCGTCGTATGTGTCGTGAAATAAAACAACAGTAAAACGAAAGATCCTCCACCATGGCTTCCTAGTCAGATGTATTGGATTACATGTCTGCAAAGATTTGTGTGCCTCCAATTGGAACATAATGAGACCACAAAGAAGGCCATAGCCACAGGCTAAGAACAACAGTGAGGAGGAGTCCACAGATGATGATCGCAGCGACCATTCCTCCATAGCCGCGACGTCGCGACTGGGTCTTCTTGACGTATCTGCGGCCGCGCATGAGGTTGAGCCAAGCAATGCTACCGGCGTGAACATCCTCCAAAGCCTTGGCGAGTCGGGGGCTCAAGGTAGCCACCTTGGCGAACTCAGCGGCGAGCTTGTCGTCGTACTCGTGGAAGATCTCAGCTGAGCGATTAACAGCCTGCTGGAAGTCCATACGAGTGTCGGAATTCTGCTGAACAATTGCAGCGATGTGGCTGTATTCCGTGATCTGGGCATGGTGCGCATTGAGCTTGTAGAGGTCAAGAATCACGCCCATGTTTCGGCCGCTGTAGCTGAAGATGTTTTTCAGGGTCTCCGGTGACCATTTATGTAGACGAAGGAAGTCGTCGGCAAGATCAGGCCTTGTGAACGGCATGATGAGGTTCATAAGACCCATAGCAGCGTTGGTTTGCCTGTAGGTCAAGTATTCCTCCACAGAGACCGGTTCTTGTTCCACTTCGATCTTTCGAAGAGCCTGTGTACAATGAAGCCAGAGATCTATTTCGGCCTTTGCGAGCTGGAGGAGTTCGCTGTTCCAGCCCTCATGGTTCCAAAGCCTGAATAAATGGTCAAGGCCTTGGTTGCCTTGGGGAGGACCTGTCACCCGGGCCTTGATGTCGTCAAGCACATCGCATGTATATTTCATGTCAATGCTATTGTCGATAAGGTCATCTAGAAAGACCCAGGCGGAATAAAAGTCGGCGACGACCTTGATCCTCTCAGCATCGCCGCCAGGATAGACCCAGCTACCGTAGAGACCTCCGCATGCGGCAAATTCGCCATTGCGCGAGATAACTTCATTCTGAGACACCTCCTTGAGCGAGCGATCACAGCTCTGTCTGGAGTACTGAAATATGTGGGCCGTCTGAGGATGCTTCCAGCTAGTAAAGCGGGTAAGGAGCTCGGGTACCTCACACTGATCGTCGGAAGATGCCATGGCGGAAGGTATAAATATAAGGTGGAGGAAATGGATAGTCGATCTCAAGAGCAAAGTAGAGAATAGTGGCTGAGAACGATGAATTTTAGGACCTGGGCACGGACAGGAATTCCTTTATCTGGCCTAGATACGGAGTAGCTCGGCCAGCTAAACCCTCTTTTATTCTTGGTGATATTCCCGGCCCTCGGTGTTTGGAATCACATCATATTTCGCAACATGTATCATGAAAGTGACACGTATCAAGAGACTATAATCGGCTCCCTTCTGTTCCATGTTGTATTGCTAAGTTTACAAGGGATAAATGTCGCTACTGGGTGTCTGTTGATAACCATGTATGGACCTTTCGTACAAGCGAAGCCAGGATGGAGCGCACGTTGAGCCATATGTGGGAGGTTTGCCGCTGGAAGCGTAGTGGGCCACGCTGTCACGCATGGCTAGATCATTTTCTTAGCGTGCCTAGAACACTCGTGATATGACCGGTCATCAGTAAGCGGAAGCTACTGGCAAGGAAACCGTATCTAGAGCTATAGCGGCGACTTCACTCCGTAGATTGCCACTCTAATCAAGCAACCAACTTAGCTACCCTAAATCAAAGCGGGGCTGTTAGTATAGAGCATTTCTGACAGTCTGCCATTCCATCGTTTTTGCAATTGGTGATGCCAAACTGGCCTTCACCGACAGATCAGTTGTTCTATCAAGTGTAAGCAACGGTTTGCGCCATTTTCTGAACGTGTTGGTTGTGAAGTGCATAAGCATCCTTGGTAGTACGGTAACAGCCGAAGCATGCATCCACATCAGGCCTCACGAACAGGTCTGAGGAGGATGGTCCATGCTCCGTTGAAGCCGAGCCAATCCGAGGCCGTCGGGTCCCCCCTCTCACTTTTGCGTGACGTGTTCGTCTCAAGTACCAGGGACATGGACCAAGTGTGACAAGACATTACCAGAGCCACGGAACCGGTAGAATTCCCGGCCAAGCGGGACGAATAACATGCCAGACATTTGGGTAGTAGTTTAATCTATAGAGGACTCCTACTATATCTCTTAGTGAGAGTTTAAAATGGCAGTTTTACTCATCCCGACATAGAAACTCTGTATACTAACTGGTTGCAGCATTTACGTTCTTTAGAAAATGTTTTTAGAGAAGAGCTAATCTCATTCAAGGCTGAGCTGCTCTTGTCGCTGCACGAAATGGCTGTTTGCAGAAATATTGACGCTAAATTCGGAAAAGGAGGAATTAATTTCCAGTCAGCCACTAGTTTCTTCGCCAACCACCACGATTTGCCCAGAGGGCCTGAGCCGCATTATGATCAAGATTCTTCCCATATCAAATCGAGCCAACCAACATATACACGACCACGTCGTCGTGTCGATACATGGACTGTATGGTGGACCAACAGAGCGAGCGGCCGTTGGAGGGCCAGGACCGAGATGCCCGCGGTGGGAACGAGGTCAATGCCCGAAGTGGGGAATTCACTTTCAACTGCTCCTCGATGACTGACTTGAGGGCGACAGACGGGAGCGTTCCCTTGGGAGCTAATGTAGGCTAAACTTGTCCCACGTTGAGAGCACGTTGCAGCGAGCTGACTTGGTGTGCTTTTTTCTCATCTCAGTCTCAGGCTCAGTCTCAGTCTGCGGCCCGATCAGCGTCTTCAGCAGAGCATGCTTCATCAGCGACGTCGAGTTTTATCCAGGTCGAGGACTGGGATGATTCTGCTTCTTTGACGGATAGTGTGCAGACGTTTCCCGAAGAGTTTGGTCGCACTTATCATGCTTATCGTGCTGGATGTAAGCAACCCAGATTCTTTTCCTATGCTTTTTTGACTGATCACGCACTGTCATATAGCATACCTATTCCCTAATGACAATACAGAGCAAGAGAGACTCGGAATCATGGGCGAATGCTATAAGATGATTATGAAAGGCAAGCTGTACATGGCACCGCTCTCTACTAGAAGGCCACCAAAGAACATCCTCGATATCGCCACCGGTATAGGCGACTGGGCTATCCAGATGGGTGACATCTTCCCCAATGCGACAATTATCGGCACAGACCTGTCTCCCATTCAACCGAACGACGTGCCTCCAAATGTATACTTCTACGTTGAAGACTCGTAAGTTTCTTTCCGCGACATCCGCCCTATCCGTGAAAGCGTTCTGATCAAGAAATAATAGAAGCGACGAGTGGATGTTTAACCACAAGTTCGACTATATCCACACCCGCAGCACATCCGGATGCTGGTCCGATTTTGAGACGCAGATAGCTCAGCAAGCCTTCAATGCGCTTGAACCCGGCGGCTGGTTTGAGTCGCAAGAGACGGACTGCATTCCTTTGTGCGACGACGACACACTCGATCGTCAAGGCCCGGTTGCGACATGGTGCAATGAACTGATAGCGGCGGCAGATAAGCTAGAGCGTCCGGCTATCTTTGGCGAAAAGCTCAAAGAGATCTACGAGCGGGTTGGCTTTGTGGATGTCCACCAACGTATAATCAAGATGCCTATCAACGGCTGGGCCAAGGACTCGCGACTCAAGCAAGTGGGATGGATGTGGGCTGATCACATGCTCGATGGACTATCTGGGTTCTCTTATCAGCTCTTGAACAAGGCCTTTGAACGGACCAGTGCTCAGATTGAGGTAGGCTAGCCAGCATGTAGCTCAGCACGCTATACTGCTATTCTAGACAATGCCTTTCAACTGCTAACTCTCCTATAGGTGTCTCTAATTGATGTTCGGCGAGATCTTGTGAACCCGCGCATTCATGCCTATATGCCTCTTTATGTCGTCTGGGGAAGGAAGCCAAAGAAATAAAAATGAATTATAAAATGCAAAGTGGATAAGGTTATATCAGGCGTTTGCGTCTCGTTTCTCTCGGCGATATCGGAGTTGGCGTACCAGTTATGTTCAGTCTGGATCTATAAGTATTTAGGTACCGCTACTACTAGATTGATGCTGAAAAGATGTTTTCTTGTACCCAAGGAGAAGTGTCCTAACCAATACCGCCAGGAATAATATCTCAGTGTATCAGTGTATGGGGTAGAAGACATGACTGCGATGACTTGGACCTGGGGCCAGCCCTAAGATCCCTGTCGTTTGAGATTCACTGATTCACCAACATCTGCCTTTGGACTAAGAGATAAATATGTCAAATTTCGGGAGGTCTGCTCATGAAATGGAATGGCTTGCTCTTCTAGTGATCTGTGAATTTATTTTGGCCTTGTCTCTTTCATAATCTATAGTCTATGTAAAAGCCCCCGACTTTTTACTAACTAAAACAAAAGCACCCTAACTCCCACCGCGTGAACATCTAAGAGTCAAAGATAGCTCCATATGCTGGGACACCCCGTGTTTGCATACCAAAGACAACCTTCTCCGTAACTTTGGGGTTCGAGATGATATAAACGGCTTCTGCATCAGACTCCACCACAAGTTGGTAAGTCTCACGGACAATATCCGGGTAACCTCGCTCAGTGGTATTCCAGATAACTGCGTTTGGATCAGCTCGTTGGACTGCACCGACCACAGTTGGTCCGTATGTCTTCTCAGGATCGCGAGTAGACCAAAGGACACGGCGAGGGGTCTCGTCGGCGTGGAGAAGAGAAAGGCAAGGCCCGATACCAGATCCAGTAGCAACAATGACGATTCGACGAAAGAGCTTTGATGTATAGAGAAGCCCATGAAGAGGCGCCCCGCGAACCCAGAGCTTTCGCTCGCTGTCATTCATGATCTGCTTCTTTGTAAAGTCTCCAGCATTAGAAACAACAACACTGAAGCCTTCGACTTTGCCAGACTCTGGCTCGATATCTGGAATAGTAGCAAATGCATGCCATTCTGTCATGGGCTTATCGCTGATTTTTAGACCATAGAATGGTTTCATTCCCCGATACTTGAAGTGAAGTCGAGTCGCATGGTCGCTCAACTTCTCGGGGTATACAACTCGGCGGCGTAATCGGGACCAGGATGCGATCGTGCATGAGGTCGTAACACATATACACCAGAAGTTGGGAGATCGCACAAGGGCATAGGCTATGGACTTGTTCCACTCGTGTGCTGTAACACAAGCCGACACAATGTTGTGTACCCAGAAGGCGAGCAAGGATACCCAACCAGCGAATCGATGGAAAGCCTCGAAGTGGTCGTGGAACTTTCTTCGAATGCTGGGATAAGCTGCGATGAGAATGACGAGGAACATGGCAACCACGATCCAACTGGTGATCATGTTGACAAGTCTGTATTTTTTCCTGTCTGCAGCCCATTCTTGAGTGGCCAGGATCGTATAGGCCATATACCATACAGTAGCAGCAACTCCAGCGCCACTATGGACACCACCGTAGTGGAAGACTTTGGCCAGGCGTTTTCGAATCGAGAGCGGCCACGAATGAGGAGCCAGCACGACGATTTCGTAGCAAAGATTCACAAATTCTTCTTGTCGAAACAGGATGCATACCATGAGGTTTGCGGAAGCTGCACTGGCGGCATCTCTTGACAGGATGGCCCATGTGGAGGTAACAAGAAGGGCAATTAACACCGCCAAGTTGGAGATGAAAATGAACGCGAAGATCTTTCTGTAAGTCGAAGCATGTTTGTCTGATTTAGATTAGAACAGGTCTTTAACGGACGATGAACAAGAGAACGTACACCGGAGTTCGCGTGTCATTTCAGAGCCCTTTTGATCTGGCAGCGTAACTGGAGGTAGAGCAACCGACACATTCTCGATTTTCCCGCCTAGAGACTCTTGGGTATTCGTTTCATAGTGCGATACTCTCTGTAAGGAAAGGTCATATGTTGATTCAGTAAGAGAAGGAACTGTCTCAAGTTGAGGAGACATGGTTGCGAGAATGGTTGAGGAAGTGATGAATGGTTGGTGATGCCTTCGAGTTGGCTTCGACGCAGAGTAACTGGGTTATATACTTACAATTGGTGTCAACTTACCTGTGCTCCATCTTCTAACGTATTTCCCCACCACCCCATACACCCCTAGTCCCCGCACACCTGTAATAACCTTATATTGGGATCTATAGATAACTGTAATTAATTATATAATAATAAGTATTTATTTAATTAAGCTAAGATTTTAAATATTAATTAAAAAACGTTTTCTTTACTGTTAGCTTTTTTTATAGCTTTTTTCTTTATAGTTTTTATCTATTTTCTTTAACTTAATATAAAACATTTCTTTTAGCTTAATTTTAGGCTAGAATAATCTATTTAATCTTAGGAAAAGCTTAGTTAGGGTTAAATTAAATAGGGACTTAACTAGTAGGGGCTTTGGCTACTAATAATGCCCTTAAAATAGCCTTTTCCTTTTCTAGACACTGTATTTAACTATTCTTATTATTAAGGGATTTTATTGCCTTCTTTAGGATATATTTAAAGTTATAAATTAATAGAATTCTGTCTTTTTAAGCCTCTTAAAGCTGTTTTTTAATATTATAACTTCCTTAAGGTATTCCCTATATAGTCTTAGAAATAACCTATACTTTCCTTAGTATTATAGGCCCTTAAAATAACTTGCATTTTTTCTCTTTAGGCTTTAAAGACTTTAATACCTTTTATATATTAATTAAAAAGATACTAGTAGCTAAAAAGCTACTTATTATATTCCTTTAAGTTAGGGCTTTTTAGGAAGCCTCTTTATAAGCTTTTAGGAATAGTTATTACTAATATAGTAAGGTCGCTTTATATAATACCTAAAATTGGGTTAATTAGTAATAGTACTGTTTTAACAGTCTATATACTATAACATTAAGTAGCTATATAATATATAAAGAATAT